GAAAGAGTGATGTATTGCTCCCTGGCCTTGGCTGAGCGCGTGGTCATTGCCCTGGGCCTTCATGCTGCCATGGTAGAGCTGAGGCATGACTTATGTCATGTCCTGGCTTTGCCGTTTGCTCTGTCCGAACAGGCTCAATGTTGCCTGTAGGCCTCAGGCAGGACAACTAAGCTGAGACATGACTTATGTCATGCTCCAGTTGTGTCTTTGGTCTTGGCGCATGGCGGGGTTGAGCTCAAGCCTCGCGCTGGGGCCCGCAGCTCAAGCAGGACAGTCTGGGGCTTGGCCTTGCATCGGGCTGAAGTTGGGTGTAGGCCTTGTACCATCCTTGGGGTGCTTTGGGGTCTCAGCCTCCACCCCAGGCCTTGACACTTTCCAGGGGAAGAAATGACCTGGGCTGGGTAGGGCCCATGCCCTCTCCCGTCGTGCCACCAGTCCCTGTGCCAGCTCCCAGGCTACGGACAGGGTACGGCAGCATGCACATAGCACATGGACCTGGCCCCACGCTCCCCACATCCCTCACATTCACCCCCCACGGCTCCCAGGCTCTTCTCCACCCCCTGCCCAGGGCACTGTAACTCTATCAGGTAAACAAGATTGGGTTTCCCCAGGGCAGGCGGGGGCCCCCACTGGGCTGCTGGTATATAGCAGTGGGGCCGCAGCTGGCTCGGGCACTTGGAGCCAGGCGCTGCCCACCATGGAGCTGGCGGGGGCCGTGACCATCTTCCTGGCCATCTGCATCTCGTGCCTGGCACTGGCCTCGGCCTGGAGGAGGATGCACAAAGGGGGGAAACTGCCCCCGGGCCCGACCCCGTTGCCCTTCATCGGCAACCTGCTGCAGGTGCGCACCGACGAGACCTTCAAGTCCTTCATGGAGGTGAGTCGACCCCGAGCCCCGGGCAGGGAGGGGCCGGGGACCAAGAGCCAGTCTCCATCTCCTCCCTCGCTCTGTCTGTCTGTCTCTCTCCCTCTCCCCATCTACAACTCTTCCCCCCACCACACACACACACCCATCCAGCTCTCCTGTGTCTGTCTCTCTGTCCAGCTCTCCCCATGGGCACCTGTCTGTGCTTCTTCTCTCCCCACGGGCTGTCCATCCATCCCCACACACCCCTCCACCGAACCATCCATCCCTCCACCCCCATGTCTATCTTTCTGTCCATCTAACCCCATAAGTATTTGCTCATGTTTCCTCTCTCCCTGTGCCTGTCTGTCCATCCATCCATGCTCTATAGCTCCCATCCATCCATTCATCCCCATGTGAGTCTGTCCGTCCATCTATCCTCATAAGTCTGCTCATGTTTCCTCTCTCCCCAAGGCTATCCATCCATCCATCCCCTCATTCGCCCCTCTCCATCCATCAATCCCTCCATCCCCATGTCTGCCTGCCTATCTGTCTGTCCATTTAGCCTCAGAGATTGGTGTTCATTTCTCCTCTCTTCCCATGGTCATCCATCCCTCCATCCCTATGTCTTCCTCTCTGTCTGTCTGTCCATCTATCCCCATAGGTCTCTTCCCATGTTTCCTCTCTCCCCGTGTGCATCCATCCATCCAGCTTCCTCGCACGTATTCATCTGTCCACCCCCACACAAATGCCTTCCTCTATGGGCATCTGTCCATCTTTTCCCATTACCATCCATCTCTCCCCTGCCTGCTTGCCTGTCTGTACACCCACGGTTTGTTCCCGGGAATGGGGGGCGGGGTCCATGGCCTCTGTTCTCATGAGTGGGGAGGGAGCTGCCCCCTCATCTGGCCCTTTACTGGGTGCGGCACTAGCCGGAGGCTCACAAGCCCAAAGAGCTGCAGGGGTGTGACAGGTGCCTCCCTCCGCCCCCGCTGCAGCTGAAGGAGAAGTACGGGCCAGTGTTCACGGTGTACCTGGGCCCGCGGCGCGTTGTGGTGCTGTGCGGGCATGAGGCCGTCAAGGAGGCACTGGTTGACCAGGCTGAGGAGTTCAGTGGCCGCGGGGAGCTGGCCTCCATCGAACGCAACTTCAACGGCTTCGGTGAGCGTCAGGAGCAGCTTGGGGAGCTGAGCAGGGTGGGCCGGGCAGGGGGCATCATGCTGGAGGCGGGCAGGGCTCATAGCCCAGCTCCAGGTCCGTCCAGCGCTGACCCCTGGCTCTCTCCCGTGGTCCCCAGGAGTGGCTCTGGCCAACGGGGAGCGGTGGAAGCAGCTGCGCCGGTTCTCGCTCACCACCCTGCGCAACTTCGGCATGGGCAAGCGCAGCATCGAGGAGCGCATCCAGGAGGAGGCCCAGTACCTGCTGGAGGAGCTGCGCAAAACCAAAGGTGCGTGCGGGGCCTTGGCCGCCGCCCCAGCCCCAGGCCGCCCGCATGGCCAGGCTCTTGTCTCCTAAGGGAGATATGCTCTCAGCTTAAGCCAGCGCCTGTTGTGGGGAATCTGTGGCAGGGCAGGGTCTTTGGGTCTTGCCTGAGTTTGCAGAGAGCCTGAAACACCTGCTCTGAGATGGGGGAGGGGGCGTGGCTTCTGCTCATCTCTCCCCTCCCAAGCTGGGCGGAGCCACCGCATGCGGAAGGTGCCGCGGCTTCCCCCGCTGACCCCTGCTCCCCGCACCCGTGTGCCCCGAGCAGCCCAGCCCTTCGACCCCACCTTCTACCTGAGCCGCACCGTGTCCAACGTCATCAGCTCCGTCGTCTTCGGCAGCCGCTTCGACTACGAGGACAAGCAGTTCCTCGCCCTCCTGCGCATGATTAACGAGAGCTTCATCGAGATGAGCACGCCCTGGGCCCAGGTACCGAGGGCTGGGCACCACATTGAGTAGGGCCGCGAATTTAGGGGCTGGTGTGGTGTTGGATGCAGCTGCCTGGGGCTGGATTTCAGAGCTGCTGAGACCGGAGGATGGAGGCTGTATAGTCCCTATCCCTCCGTGTGGCCTCGAGCCTGGGATTTAGGAAGGAAGTGAGGGTGGTTTTTGCAGGGGGGCGGTGGCTGGAGGTGCCAAGGAAATCCCAGACTGGCGCTGCTACACCCCTGGAGCCCGTGGGGCCTCACCGTGCGCCCGGTGCTGTCTCTTTCAGCTCTACGACATGTACTCGTGCATCATGCAGTACCTGCCTGGGCGCCACAACCGTGTCTACTACCTCGTCGAGGACCTCAAGGACTTTATCGCCGAGCGGGTCCGGGCCAACCAGGCAACCCTGGACCTCAACTCCCCGCGGGACTTCATTGACTGTTTCCTCATCCAGATGGAGAAGGTATTCCCTGCCCCTGCCCCTAGCTCTGCCCCTGCTCGGGGAAGACTGGGCACAAGCTGCCCTGGGTGTAGGGGCAGGGCTGGCTTTGGGGTGAATGGCTGTCCCCATTGGGCTAGGACAGCATGGGCTACATCCAGCACGGTGCTGGCAGGAGAGAGGGTCCCATACCTTGACCTCTGCCGTGGTCTCCCTGGGTGACCTTAGACACCTGCTGCCCCTCCCCGTGCCTCAGTTTCCCTAGCTTTTCCCAAACAAGGCCATCAATGGTAAGGGAGGCCTTGAGACCCCCCCCCTGCTGACGTGCTCCTCCCTTTGCTGTCCCCTTCTGCAGGAGCGGAAGAACCCGAACAGCGAATTCAACCTCAAGAACCTGGTCCTGACCACGCTCAACCTGTTCTTCGCCGGCACCGAGACCGTCAGCTCCACCCTGCGCTACGGCTTCCTCTTCCTCATGAGGTACCCCAAGGTGCAAGGTAGGCACCTGCTCAGACTTGCGACTGCGTGAGAACAGCTCGGGTGCCCTGGACCCTTCCCCCTCTGGGGAATCGCCCACAGCCAAGCAGCATGGGGTCTATAGTGCGTGGTTGAGCGGTTCTGCTTCTCTCCCGCTGAGGGTGGCTCACATACGCGCTGGCGGAAGGAGGCTGCCAGGCAGCTCCATCCGCAAGAGATCGGCCCCCGGTCCTGGACCACACAGGCCTCTTTTCTCTGAGCTTAGAGGCAGAAGCCCCATAAGGGGGGAAGAGACAGTCCCGGGGATCGATTGCCACCAAGTGGTGGTACCACCTCACTGGGCACACACCTGTGCGCCCGGGTTGCACACGCAAGCCCCCAGGGGAAGCACTGACTTTCCCGCCTGTTGCCCCAGCCCTCGAAGGCCTGGATCGGGGAGGGCGGGGGTGGTTACGACCTCCTGAGCCCCCCACGCCTCACAGCTCCCAGCCACGAGGGTCTCCCCCTGCCGGCAGCAGCCCCCGTCTCACATGTTCCCCTCCCAACAGAGAAGGTGCACCAAGAGATCGACCAGGTCATTGGGCGCAACCGCATCCCAGCCAGCGAGGACCGCATGAGCATGCCCTACACGGATGCCGTCATCCACGAGATCCAGCGCCTCACGGACATCGTGCCCATGGGTGTGCCCCACACCGTCATCCGGGACACCCAGTTTCGCGGCTACACCCTCCCTAAGGTGCGTCTGGAGGGGGGGTGGGGGTGGTCCCCGGCTCTCGCCAGCCCCCAGGGCATCGTTTGGCTTCTGCAAAGAGCCCCACGGGGAAGGGAGGGGTCCACTACCCACAGGCTCTAGGTGTTAAGGCCTCCCACCACCCCTGCCGTGGGCTTTGGGGCTTGCTCTGGGCAACAGCTTCTTCAGCGGAAACCTCCAGGCTGGGGCTGGAGAGGGAGATCCCCACTTTCCCTGGCGCCTGCTCCAGCCACCAGTTGCCCCCAAATGCCTCTGGCTTTGGGCGCTGGGAGAGTCACAGCCCTGCAACCTCTGGCATCTCCTCCCTGCTCCGGTACCCGCCCTATCCAGGGCTCCAACACCTGCAGCATGAAAGGACCGGTCACTTGGGTTCCTGAGCAAAACACACGCTACAGGGGCCTGGTTTCTCAGGATCAGGCCCTTCTTGGGAGCCTCAGAGCCCCCATGCCCAGGTCTTCGGGCCCATTGCTGGGTGAAAAATGACCTAAAAACGAACGCCGTGCACCAGCTGCCCGGAGGCTGAGCTGAGTCCCGGTGCTCCCCCAGGGCACCGATGTGTTCCCACTGCTGGGCTCTGTCCTGCGAGACCCCAAGTACTTCAGCCAGCCAGACGCCTTCAACCCGGGGCACTTCCTGGATGAGAACGGCCGCTTCAAGAAGAACGACGCCTTCGTGCCTTTCTCCTCTGGTACGAGCTCTGCCCTCCGCCCCTTCCCTGCTCCTGTCATCTGGCTCGTCCCCGTGGGGAGAGCGGGGTGGCAAGGGGCCATCCCTCACCAGCTAGTCCTGTAAAGGTAGCGGCTGCACCATAGGCGGGTAACGAAGATCAGGACCGTGGCCGGGTCGTCTAGTAGAGCAATGCATCGGATGAGCAGGAGCTCCCCGCTTCCACTGGCCGTGAAGCCACTTGGTTCAAAGGGGGAATCTGGGAGCTCTGGGAAAGGGACTGGAGTCCGGCGGGTTGAAGCCTCGGGACTCCTTGGGTCTCTCCCAGCTCTTGAGTGGGGAGTGGGCCCTAGAGGGTTAGAGCCAGGGGGATTGGGAGCCAGGTTGTCTCCCAGCCACAAGAGACCAGTAGGATTTGGGGTTCAAGATTGCCAAGCCCTTGTCCCTAGAGGATGCTCTTGCCGCGCCTGCCTCGGTCTCCCCTCCCGTGGCCCGTCTGGGGGTGGCCCTAACAGAAGCCCCCAGGACATGGCCTGACCTGGCTCTGCTTTACAGGGAAGCGGGTGTGCCTGGGCGAGGCCATGGCCCGCATGGAGCTCTTCCTCTACTTCACCACCATCCTGCAGAGCTTCTCCCTCCAGTCCCTGGTGCCCCCCGAGGACATCGACATCTCCCCCAAGATCAGCGGCTTCGGCAACATCCCGCCCACCTACCAGCTCTGCCTGGTGCCGCGCTGAGCCCGCCAACCCCTCCTGGAGCTCTGCAACGGGGGGACCCAAAGCAGCTCGGATACTAGTTAGAAGCAAATCCCTCCTGCGTAGCCAGCGGCACCTCCATCTCCGCCTGCCGGGGCTGGGGAGGGGGGTGGACATGGATGCCGCTTCCTGGGGGGTGGTCAGCACGGTCCTGCCATGGAGCCGGTCCTTGGAGGGATCCCGCAACACCAGCATCCCCGTCGTTCTCCCCTGGTCCGGCTCCACGTTTGCGTGTCCGCCTGAGCAAGGTCGGGGCTGTTAGAAAGACTCTGCACCCTCAACGGAGACTGCGCGCCGGGGCCAGGGTCAGCCAAGAGTGCCCAGCACCCCCTGCACATGCACGTGGCCATGTCACGGCTGGTGGATCCCAACGGGCTTCGCAGAGGCAAAAACAAGGACCTGAGCATCGTGAAGGCAGACGCAGGCTCTGATGCTGGAGGAACAGAGTCGGGCGCTGCCCCCATGGCTCTGGGCACACGAGTGCACCTGTGCTGGGTCGAAGGGGCTTCATCTCCCAGCAGCAGCTCTGTGTGTCCTCTCCACCCCCTCCACGGGCAGTGTGCGGTGCCTGGCACTCGGGGAAAGCCGGACCCCATGGGAACCCACCCTCCTCCCGTTATCTCCAGCCAGCTGTAGCAAGGCAGTCAGTGCCAGATGAGCGAGCGAGCCAGGAAGCATGCTGGGAGTCTCTGGTCTGGAAGCAGCCCCTTCTCCACCCCCATTCCCAGCTCCCCCAAAATGATATGGGCAACTTTTTCCTTCTAGGGGAGCTTTGCCCTTTCCCCTGCCTTGTTTTGCTTTGGCTGCCCAAAGGTGACGGCTGGGATGCGGCTGGCTCTGGTGTAGGCCAGAGCCAACACGGCTCTGGTTCTCCTTGCACTCTCCTCCCCCTTCCCAGGGCATCTGGGAGGGGCTGTTCGGTTCCCCGGGGCGGGGGCCCATGGCCTTGATTTTCCAATTGCAATAAAGGCAAAATGCTGCGATGTGGCAGGAGCTTCATGTCCTGTTCTGTGCGAGGGAGAACAGCACACGGCTGCCTCGTGGCATGCTCTTTTGTGGGGGGGATGCTTTTCCGAATGGAGGGCTCCTGGGGAAGAAACCACAGCAGCTGCAGGGGGCACAGGGAGTCCCTGACCACCCGCCTTGCAGCTGGGAAGCCTGCATGGGACCTGCTACATGTGGCCAGGGGCAGCCCTGCCCCTGCAGGGCTGGGAGCCAGTGCTGGGGGGAGATGCAGCTCCCTGTTCTCCCCTCTCCCAGGCACTGGTGAGGCTGCAGCTTGCAGCATGGCAGAAGGCGGCACCTGCATGACTGCCCAGGCTGGCTGGCACACACGTGCCCATGTCACATACCTGTCAGCCTCTCTGCTCCATTCTCCGTACCAGAAGCAGGTGGCAGGCTGGCCCAGGGGGACCGGACTCACTGGCGGCTCCCAGGTGCTATGGACATGGACATGGAGCTGCTGTCCAGGGCTGGCAATGAAGGGGTCACTGCACCCTGCTCCCCTCCAGCTCCAGGAGTTCAGGGCCCTGGGGTTTGAACCGACAGCATACAGTTTGCGTTGGACAATCTAGGCTGAGACCCAGCGAGGGCAGGGTAGATTCTGCATCCAGTTAGCTGCGTGGCCTTAAGCCTTCAGCCCATGTCTGGGAGTCTGGCTGGCATTGGTAGCTTGCCAGATAGCACTTGCTGAGATCAGGGTCCCCGTCGGGCTTGTAGATACCACCCAGGCCATCTCAGCCAGCGATTTCACCAATAAAAGCTCACGGGAACCTTTGCCTCCCCCCTCTTCCACCTTTCAGCTGAGGACTCAGGTCTGGCTGGGGGCAGAGTCCAGCCCCAGTAGCGTCTTGCCCAGGAAATTCTGGACAGAGGCAGCAAGGGGAGGGGATGAAATCAGCAGGTCACTCATAATTGTCTGTGCTGGCAGGGACTCCTGCTTTCTCTCTGGGTCTGGGCGGTGATACAAGGCAGGCCCTTCTTGTCTCCAGCTGGAGCAAGATGGGGACCTAGTCAGGGAACTATTGGAGGGGCTGGACATGTTCAAATCAGCTGGTTGTGACGATCTCCACCCCAGGGTGCTGAGGAAATGAGCAGAGGTCATTGCAGGACCCTGGCACGGCTTTACGAGCACTCGTGGTGCTCCGGTGTGGTGCCAGAGGGCTGGAAAAGGGCCAACGTGGTCCCCATTTTCAAAAAAGGGAGGAAGGAGGACCCAGGAGATTACAGGCCTGTTAGTCTTACCCCGGTCCTGGGGAAACTCTTTGAGAAAATTATCCAGGTGCACATCTGCGAGAGGCAAGCAGGAGAGATCACGCTTAGGGGCGACCAACACGGGTTCATTCGAGGCAGGTCCTGTCAGACCAACCTGGTGCCTTCTACGACCAGGTCACAAAATCCTTGGATGCAGGTGTCGCGGTGGATGTGGTGTTTCTGGACTTTAGGAAGGCCTTTGACACTCTCTCACCCCATTCTCATTCAAAAAATTAGGGGACTGTGGCGTTGATGTCTACACAGTCAGATGGGTCGCCAATTGGCTGGAGGGCCGCACCCAGAGAGCGGTGGTGGACGGGTCATTTTTGACCTGGAGGGATGTGGACAGTGGGGTCCCCCAGGGCTCGGTGCTCAGGCCTGCACTGTTCAACATCTTCATCAGTGACTTGGACGAGGAGGTGAAAAGCACCTTGTTCAAATTTGCTGATGACACTAAGATGTGGGGAGAAGTGGGTACACTAGAGGAGAGGGACAGGCTAAAGCTAGACCTAGACAGGTTACAGGGGTGGGCGGATGAGAACAGGATGGGATTCAACACTGACAAGTGCAAGGTGCTGCACCTGGGAGGAGGAACCGGCAGCAGACCTACAGGCTGGGGAACTCCCTTCTCGTCAGCGCAGAGGCAGAAAAGGATCTTGGGAGTCATTATAGACTCCAAGATGAACATGGGCCGACAGTGTGGGGACGCGGTCAGGGAGGCCAACCGCACCTTGTCGTGCATCCACAGATGCATCATGAGCAGGGCCAAGGAGGTGATCCTCCCCCTCTACGCGAC